GTAAAGGTTACCTTCCATTCATTTACTGAAGCCATTACCTGCATATTCACACCAGATGCCATTACACATTATCAGAGTGTGACTGACAGATGCCAGAAGTGATTAGATCCAGCGGTTTAAAGTGGATGCTTACTGCCTGAAAATACACCTCCTGAGCTCTTAGATGTCAGCATGAAATGAGACAGACACTCCAAATGAGAGAACAGCTCAGGCTAATATCCCATCACAAATGCTGTTTACTCTGGGTGTCTGGGTTTAGCTGGCTGCCCATAACTGTGTCTGCCCAAGCTGTGTGTTGCACGGAAGGAGCTCTGCCAGAAACATTTCTCTTGGAACCTAAGAAGACATTCGCAGTGTTTCAACCAGAATGCTGCATATCAAATACATCCAAATTTTTGTCAATCATATCTGAAATCTCCTCCAAAAGCAGGCTAAGTGGTAGTCAGAGAGTGGCACAGTGCCATGCTGGATCACCTCACAGTTAACATACAGGGAATAAAATTATTTAGTGAGTCTTGTATTTTCGATGGTCCTTCCTCTTTTATGGATGAAGCTGCGTTCATCATTAAGAGAATACCACAATTTTCAATGGCAACATAATGGCAAACAGTCATCATAGTGTATGGCTTCCCTGAAAAAAATAGTAGAGGTTTTCACTTCTGCTAATTCCACTCAGTGCAGAATCTGAGCGCTGTACCCGACTCTTTCTTCCACATCAAACATTCACGATATAACTCTGTAAAATTTAAAACTGAATATCATTTAGCATTATGAGGTCTATACAGTATTAGATGTATAGAATAGATGTCTCCCCTATTGGCTTCTCTTCATTGGTCCCTGTTGAATCCAGAATTTTCACATACAAGGTTTTGAATATTCAGGCCCCATCTTATCTTAAAGACCTCATGACCCTAACAGAGTAGGGGAGACCGGGGATAGTTGTAACACTTCCAATTTCTCCAGTCAGGGCTAAGTTTCAAATGATGTGACTCATCCTGTGCATGCCCAACTCAGTTCTGCTATCACATGTGAAAAATCAGCACATTTTGTCAAACACAGACAATTTAACATGAAAAAAAGTAATTTGTATGCCAAAAAGTAAGTTTTTCTACTTTATTTCCATTTCTAATAGCATTATCTGCTTTGCAGTTAAACTCATCAAACTTAAATTATGTTATTTGTATGCCTATGGGGATATATTCTGTGTAGGTCTTTAGTGCTAATGTTTTAGCCGTTGGCTGTAATGTTAGCTAGTTCATGGCTATAATAGTCTGGGTCAGTTGTAACAATAATGCAGATGTTACAACTTACCACACTATTACTTTAACTTATATTAAACAAGTTGGGGCAAAGACATCAGCAGAGAGAGGTTCACTGGTCGCTTTTGTATATGCGGTTAATGCCATTGGCAACACAATTCCTCCACTGTTTGTGTTCCCACACATACATTATGCAGACCACTGTGTCAGAGATGGACCAGTAGGAAGTACTGGTAGTGGAAATAAATCAGGATGGGTGCAAGAAACAGATTTCCTCATCTTTCTGAAGCACTTTGCAAACCACACCAAGGAAAGCCATGATAAAAAGTAATGGAATTGCGATGCTGGTGAACAACTACATTTTTTCAGCTTCATTGTTATGTTCAAAATTGGTGCAAGAGTTGTAGGTTATAATGCCCACTGAGCCAATGAGGCCAAACTCAAGGAAGACCAACCAAAATTAATGAAATATTCAGTTGCAGAAAATTCCATAATTTGTCTTTTTTGGGGGGTTGGAATATGTTCAAAAGCTAGATTTCTGCATTCTGACACACACATAGCTACATAAATGGCTCTAAGTGCATTCATGTGTTGAATAAACAAAGATTACATGTTAATGTTTTGTTAGTACCCTTATTTCATTGTGTTACATTTCACCCCAGGATATGTTACAACTAACCCAGAGTATAGGGTTAATTGTAACATTTCACTCTTTGTGTTTGAGGCCATATCATGCAATGGGTAACTGTGCTGCAGAGAAAATAGCTGCACTATTTAATAGCCGAGACATGTAAATACTTTGCATTACATTTTGAATCCACTACCTTAAAAGAGCTCCAATTTACAGACAGAAACAGTCAAAAATGTTACAACTATCCCCGGTCTCCCCTACTTTGCCTCACATTGTACTTTTAAAAACCCTATGAACCACAAGTAAGTCAACTGTCTGAAAGCAGAGCCTCAAGCTTTCAGGACTGTCTTTGTGGAACCATCTCCCAGTTTCCAGGAGACAGACACCTACTTTTAAGAGGAAAGAGCGTACGCTGGCGTGTCTTTCTGCCTCTGCTCTCCGTGTGTGTGTTATAATGTTTTCATCTTATCTATTTTAATTCTTTTTATTTGATTATATTATCCGTCTGTTCAGCACTTTGGCCGACACTTGATGCCCTTTAAATGTGCTATATAAATACAGATGACTATACATGACTTGACTAAAACTTGCTTTTTTGCTAAAGCATATAGTTAGGGCTGGAACGGGTGACCCTAAATCCTCCCTTCTCCCACCTATTGTAGCATAACTAAATGCTACAATAGGTGTAGGCAGCTGGGGGATTCCCATGATGCATTCAGTATTTCTTCTTCAGTCACTTTTCTTACTGTGTGTTTATACACCTCTCTGCATTGAATCATTACTTATTATTAATCTCTGGCTCTCTTCCACAGTATGTCTTTTGTTCTGTCTTCCTCCTCCACCCCAACCAGTTGTGGCTAATGGCCGCCCCTCTCTGGTTCTGCCAGACTTTCTTCTTGTTAAAAGGAAGTGTCTCCTTCCCACTGTCGCCAAAACGCTTGCTCACAGGGGCCCATATGAATGATTGTATCATGGAGGAAGAAGATTCATCCTCCCCACATCCTCATTGACAAGTAGACTTCATGACAAAGACAAACACACACCACAAGAGGATTGTTGATTTATGTACGCATTTATTAGGGGTGCAACGATACTCGTATCCATATTGAACCGTTCGATACAGTGCTTTCGGTTCGGTACGCACATGTATCGAACAATACAAAATTTTTAATTTATTTTATCAACTTTTCTTCTGACGATGCTGTCTGTGTTGAGCGCTCAGTGGATCGAACCCAGATTCACTGAGCGCAGGGCAAGCTAGCGAGACAGAAGTTAAGCTCTCCTTGCAACATGGCAAATTGAACCTCCCCCACCCTCATTCAGATCTGGTGTTTGGAACTATTTTGGTTTTCATGTGACGTATGACCCTGAAGGTAAGCGCGTCATGGACAAAAGTAAAACAGTATGTTGGATGTGCCAGCAATGCTCAATTACATGGGTGGGAACTAGTGCGTTAGCGCAGTTAGCTCGTTAACGTGTTGGCTGTCCAGCCCCACGCACGGGGCGATCCGCGGTAGCTCGTTAACGGAGATTTCAACGAGATTAATGCTGACAGCACTAGTGGGAACACAACGAATATGACTGCACATTTGCACATCATCCTAGTGCAAAGACAAGTGGAAGCAGGCAAAAACAACAAGCACGCATGCTACAAACTTTACCCGAGTCATTTAGACAGCCGTTAGCACATGATTCTCCTTATGAGGACCTGATATGTTTAATATGCTGCTGAGAATATGGCCCAGAAGAAGCGTATAGTATAGCTTTTATTTTGGAAAGAGCCATTTCTCTGTAATAAACTCTCTTTTCCAAAGATGAGTGATTTCTCAATCAGATAGATTTATTATTTTATCCCTTTGTTGTTTCAGCAACATTAAATTTAAAAACTGTACGCTTGAGTTAAAATCTATATTTATAATTTCAATAAATGACAAATTAAAAAAGCATGAACATTTTTTTGTATCGAAAAAATATCGAACCGTGACACCAAAGTATCGAACCGAATCGAACCGTGAATTTTGTGTATCGTTGCACCCCTAGTATTTATGTATGTATTTCTGCCTGTCCTGCCTTAGACATTATATATGACAATGTATTAACTGAAATAACACGAATAGAAATGAAGAAATAAACGATAAATCCTGAACAAGAGGAGCCTATAGTGAATTTATACAGCTGATCTTGGAAAAGTAAAACATGTTTCTCACAACAGTGCACTCAGATTATTCTGACTGCAAAAGTTGCTGGAGAGGAGAGGGCAAAAAAAGAGAAGTGAATTATGTCCAGAGGTAAGCTGATTAAGAAATTTTCATCCACCCAATTATTTCCACTAGTTATCTCAAATCAGCATAATTAAGAGCAAAGTGTTAATATCACGGAAGAAATCAAGACTGCCTTTTATCTCTTATCATGCACATGATTTTTATTGATAGGCTGGAAAAGCGTGCCATTTTTTCTACCTAATGATTCAAATAATGTTCTAAAAGCTGCCCGCCAGATCTTTATGTAATAGTACAACAAAGGATGTAATCTGGGTGCTAAGCTACACCTAGCCTTGATATGTCATGGTCTTGGGTAATTAGACCCAGCGTTTTGAATTTTCTTGTATTTTGATGTCATTTTGTATTATTTTTTATGTTTAAGTTCACTTTGTTAGCCTTGAGTTTATTCCCAATTTATTGACCCAAGGCTCATCATTTTACCCCTGATGCATTCAAGGCATTTAGTCGACCACAGTTGCTAAAAGAGGTCACATGTGCATCTGGTTATAAGCGAAGACTGAAACCAAATGCAGTCTCGACAATTTTTCCCCATAAGGTGACCGTGCCACCACGCTAAAAAACGCAAAGACAAAGAGACGCTAGACAATTTCCTGGATGATGGTAAACAATAACAGTAGCAGACTTTATCTACAAATATAACCAATGTGCCCATAACCCCCTTGATGACACAGTCCAGAGATGCAGATGTAACAGAGTTAGAAAATAGCTTAATGAATTTCCTCAAAATTGATGTGCTTTGTGAATAGTTGGAGCCACCTGGTGGACAAACACAGCAGCTGCAACTGTTAAGGTTCCAAATTGCTGCACAGCGCATGCCTCAGCAAAGGAAAAAAAACTCCCAAGCTGGTGGTAGGTGCTTGTGAGCGATACTGTTGTCAATTTCGTATGTGTATTAATGAAAACATTCTTATAGTGGTAATTGTCAACATGTATTTTGATTGTAAGCAGTACTAGCATGTATCCTGAAAGTTACAGGCATTTTGATGCATGGGTAGTAACTTTATTCACGAGTAGCATTTTTAGTTAGCATGCTAAGCTAATACTCGTTAGCTAGTCGGGTGCTTTTTGACTTGCACTCAGCTCTGTTTCTCTATGAGATTGTAATTGTTCTAATTCTTTTTAACAGAACTGAAGGTTGCAGTTGCTTTACACACTGTTAATGAAGACTGTGTGCTGTTTTCTTTGTACCAGGTAGGCGCTGTTAAGTATAAGTTTTAATTGATGCTGTTGTATAGGAGGGGGGGGGGAGATGAACAATGATGATTGTTTTATAATAGAAAAGCTGTTTTCTATATGTTATTGTTGTTGTTGGTTAGGAAAAAGGAGAAAAATAAATAAATAATACTGCTACTATACGATCACAGGTTTGGTTTCAGCTAGAACTTTTAAAAGAAAGACTTTGTTGATGTTGTGTTGTATAAATATATCTTATTCATTTGTTAAGTGTTATGTTTGGAAAGAAAAAGGAAAAAAAACTCCCAAGCTGGTGAACTGAAGGTTGCAGTTGCTTTACACACTGTTAATGAAGACTGTGTGCTGTTTTCTTTGTACCAGTTGCCAGAATAAAGAGGGAGCCCAGAGTAAGGGCAAGTCCAGCGTTGCAGTGGCATATCACACCACTAGCACAATAGACTCACAGAACAGCAACAGCTACACAAGCTTTGGTTAAAGCCAGGATCTGAAGGCCACAATTGTTTTCCTCTTCATCTAAACTAAGTACTGGGTGACTATTTTCATCCTCTTTCTCGGTTTGCTCTGGTTCAAACTGGAAAGGTTGAACAGAAGCCATCGCCATGTGCTGCTTACTGTAAACATGATGCGGTGCAACCGTATAATGTTACTACGCAGAGTGCAGTGCTAGGTAAATAACTATGGTGGACTACTAGTAAATCGGCTTTATATAAAATGTGCTTAAAAGGAAAACATTTGGCATATTTCAATACCACATATATATTATTGAAAGAACAGCACATATTTTTGCGCAAACATGTCTTAATAACTGGGGTTCTTTTTAAGAGTAAATCTAGTTGGTATTTGTATGGTGAGTAGCCTTCAGTAATAGTAATAAATTACACAGCAATAGTACATTCATGTAGTTGTAAAATGGATGACAATATATTAAGTAATCCAAAGTATTCAGAATACTGCATTTGACAATAATGTTAATTTCTACTCAAGGATGATCTTAATAACATCACACCAATGTCTAATAGTTCATGATTTCATCAAAATCATTCAATTTTCAAGTTCAATTTGGTTGAATACTTTGTGACACTAAATTTTGCTGTAATTGAAATTCCTTCAGTTTTCATTGCATACATTGAATGATCACAGCTGGACTGATTTGTGTAACCCTATTCGTAGATGCTGCTAATAGCCAGCTGGTTTTTAAGAAGTAAAGGGGAAAATTTTCACCTATGCAGTAGTACTCTCCAGTGCCCAACAAATAAATTGGTGTAGGCCTCCTTTGATTCTTACCCACATTTGTATTTTCTAGCTCCTAAGAAGAGCTAATCTAACTTTGTGAAATACGTCCCTATGCTTTTGAATTCCTGCATGTCATTAAAACTAAAAATTACATTTAGAACTAGTGGCTGTCCAAAAAAAACCATAACATCAAACAATAATGCATAAGCAGCACAAAGTCTAATTTCCCTGTGCAATACCATCCTCTACAGTGTTTGCCAATCACTTGAGTTGTGTAGCAGTCAATAATGGGTGAATCAGTGACTGAAACTAAGGGGTGAGAAAAGGCTGACAGCATGGTAATGTCGCTCCATTTTAGCCTTAAGATCAGCCAGCATGTAACACAAAGTGACAGGCAAAGCCGACTCCAAAAATCAAAGCTTCCTTTAGCTTCCACATTCTGCGAATGGAACTATTTGAGTGGCTTAGAAAAACTTCAAAGCCGTGGAAAAGGGGACTTTTTTAATTTTAGATAAGACCCCGGAGCTGAATGTGAACTGCTGGAATTGTACAAGTTCACATCTTAATTGACGTGACCGGCTGAATTGAGTAGTGAGGAACTCATCTTCCAGCTCCTGTTTTTCTTTCTCCCATCTGTTTTGACCCTTTATTGCAGATTTGTATAATCAAAAACTATTGCCAGACCTCCGGTTAGAGAGAGACTTATAATGTGTATTGATTCAAAATGAGCTTTGGTAAGTGCAAAGCACATTTCTGCATAGTTAAGCTGCAGCGGTGTCATATGCTCCATTGATTTTAGTAAGATCGTGTTGTCATTATCAAGCCAAGATAATCTCTGTTACGTCTCCCTTTCTGCATCAGCAACAGAGTCAGTGGCTTTTCATGTATTAGGCTATTGATTCCAGCTTGCTCTTCTACCTTAGTGTGTGTGCATCCACAGCTTGTTCTAACCCCACTTATTTCCTTCCTTGTTTGTACTAAAGGTCTGACTCAGGAACAGATACCACAGCCATGCAAATACACATTGTCACATATAAATGAGCCCAGTGAAGCAGGAGTGACAGGTCTGCTGTGGAGACAGGGGAGAGGCGCGCTCTTATTATTCAGACTTATTGTTGAGGCACATGAATTTTCACATGTTATTTTTTTTAAAGTATTGCTATAAGCATGTACAGCAGGACTTCTGTTCATATAAGCCATTACTAATGGACTTCAGTGTTTAATGCACAGACATGCTATACTAACAGATGCCCAAATGTCATTTCCACTCACACTTCCAGTGCACATGCATCAACCAGCATGCAGCCTGCAGCACAGCATGCAGCCTGTTACAGTTTCACCTCTGTCAATCCTTGATATTTATTATTCAGTGATTTGTATATATTGTGCTATTTCTTAAACCTGTAACATATTGTATTGTTAAATAGTCTAGTCTGTTGCTGTTACTGTACTGGAGCAACTGTAACCCATTTAATTTCCTTAGGGATTAATAAAGTATGCTAATTCTGATTCTGATTTAATTTGTTTTTTAATCTGTTCAAGTATATGATGTCTATGAGAATTTTCCCAGTCTGCTCTGTGTCTATCCGATATTTCACCAGAGTTTGGTTAATAGAACAAGTCAGTTTAACAGGCACCTATTGACTTAAAATTGAAAGCACCAATAACTAGAAAACTAGTAGTAGGAACAAAAGCAGGACACTCACATATATTAAAATAATGATCAGAAAAAGGACTTTAGTGAATTATTTCTTTGTTGTAACATTTCTTGGCTTTAAATCGTATATCACTGGAAAGCCTATTTATTTGCTCCATTTTTAAGGGAGATGTATTTATGAGTTGGGCAGTAAAATTGAGTATTTCATTAACCCACATACTCAACCATCCTACCATTAAAAAAACTCTGACAGTGCCAAAAAGCGTATGTTGTTTTTGACTCTTGTTTGGTGTCGCTTATTGCACTGGATTATTGAAATCTGTAAAAAACAAGACATTTTGACAAGTCATCAGTTCTTTCATTTAACAAACAGGAGCTTCAGTAGCATGTGGAAGAACTCTGGCACAAACAGCACACACAAGCTGATCCCACAAGTGTTCTGCTGGGTTGAGGTCAGGCTTCCAGTGATGACAAGCCTTATTTTTCCAGCAAGGGACATGCTGCCCTATACTATCATCATCAAAAGCTGTTACTTTATGGTATCTTCTCCACATTTTGACCCTACAATCCACCTGTTGTACACAGAATATAGACTCATCACTGAACATGCTGTCCCTCCAAATGTTCAGGTTCTAGTGCACATGTTGCAGACACCTGTGCAAACGGGTCTGAAAGAGAAAGCCAGTTTCATAGGCTTTGACGCCAATCGCCAGCCTTATGAGACTGGAGATTGTTGTGTGCAGTCTGTTCTGGATTGTTTGGGTAGAGAGCCATGTGCCATATTGTCCTGCAAAAGTACTGAGAGGTTGAGTAAATGGTCTTCTTGTGGGGTCTTCTTCTTCACTTTCTTGGACATCCCCCATGATGTGGAACCTGTCCCCAGGCATGGGGCTCACTACAAAAAATGTTGCAAGTCGATTTTGTTAAACACCAGTTGCCATATAGATAGGGCCATATCCAAATCGGTCAAACCTTGCAGGCTTGGAGCAGGGTCTATGCTTGCAGGTACTCCTTGTACCGTTGATTTACCAGAAACTCAAAACAAGAGACGATGGCCAAATAAGGCGGTACCACTCACGTCCTGAACTCGGCTGCTTAACCCACAAATACATTTTTATTTATATGAAATATAGCACCATTTACACATGAAAAGGGAAATCAAAATGCTCTCCAGCAGTACAAGTTTTATTAGGAAGAAGCATTGTTACAAAAAGAAATAACTGACCAAACAAAGATTTCCTTACTTTTTGTGCCAAATTTATTTGTGTAGTGAGTAAAATAATAATTTGAGCCTCTGCTGAATTTACAAAGAAATTAACAATCTTGAATTTTTATGGTAGCTTTATCTGATGTAGAGAGACTGAATATCAACCACAAATCCATAAAAAAATGTATTTAATCATTCATTCACATTCATTTGCATGTCACTGGGTAAAATCAGTATTTAAGTATTATTATTAATTGATGGAGAAACCCTTGCTGACAAGCACACCAGTGAAATGTTGGTCACCAGGTTTGCATCTCAGGAGGGACTTTGGCTCACTGCTCTTTACAGAAACTCTCTAAATTCTTAAATTTTATTGGCTGCCCCTTGGTGACTTGCAACTCCAGCTAACCTCAATAGATCTTCTACAGGAAATTTCCTTTGTGAGAAAACAGCCATTTGCTTCTTAAGCAAACTAATGACATGGGCAGGCAGCATGCATCCATTGGGCACAGAGCTGTTAATGTGCTGTTCAGAATAGAAGGAGAACTTCTTCCTAAAAATATGATGTCTAAGTGGATTCCCAACAATCCCTTCTTTATACACCTTTGTTTGATTGTAATGGCAGATCAAACTGAAAAGAAACATGTTAAAATCTGACAAAATAACTTTCAAATATTACCACTAAAATAATGTTATGGGAAGTCTCACTATTAACTGAGTTTTACTCACTGCCAGTTATACTTGACTCAATACTGCTAGGCCATATGATCTGTTTGTAAGATAATAATTTCTATAAGTCCCAGTGGCTTTATGTTTTATGCTTATGGTACGTTAAACGTAGTCCATTGAGGGTTTGAACAAAAACATTTTTTAATATAATTTTGCCTGTGTACACCACAAATAAAACACGTGATTGAAGGACATAATTTAAGATTTTATCAAATGTTTTAACAAAACAAAGTGCATTAACTGTTTAAGAATTGTAGCCATTTTTATACACAGTCTGGCAGTTTCAGAGGCTCAAAAGACAGAGAGATAGCAAAAAAAAATTAGGTGTGAAGAAATCAATAATCCGGAGCCAGCTCAGCAACACCATTTTTTTCTTTGTCAAGAACACTCTAGAGCAGGGGTAGGCAACCTTTCTGATGACGAGTGCCATTTAAAATTTCCTCAGAAGTCAGTGTGCCATATGATTGCATTAGCAATAAATGTAATAACACTCTATATTAACGGTTACACACTATAAAGAACCACTTTATAGAATTATATTTGTTCGCAGATGTTGGCAGCTATCAGCAAAT